GCCAGGAAGGTGAACCAGTGGCACAACAGACCTTGCCTGACCAGCCCACTGCTCCCTTTAACAGTGTATTTCAGTAGATCTGCCTGTTCTGCTCCCCACTCTGTCTCTGATGAATCCTCTCACCCCTTGCACCTCCGTCTTGTATCCCAGTTCTTGTATACATAAATAAATAAATCTTAGGGGGAAAAAAAGCAGTTGTCACATTTGTAAACATATATTCTTAAGCATTTATTTGTTTACAATTTGTGTTTGTGCTACATGACAACAGAGGCTACTCTTATTTGGCATGTGTCTCTATCCCTAGAGGTCAGCACTGCGCCTGCCATATGAAAATGTTCCACAGACATCTTTACTAACTGAACAAACTGAGGAATATTAAGGAGAAATTGATGAATAAAAAAACTCTCATCTTACAGGTGAGAATGAACTTAAAGCCTGAGAGTTTAAACATCTTACCTATTGCAAAATCAAGGAATCTAACTGTTCAGTACCTAAATGTTCTATTTCTGAATCTTCTTTCTCCTGTAGCACCTCTTTTAAAGCTACTCCTTCAAAGACTTCAATCTGATCCTGTGCCAATCCTACATCAGCCAGGTACGAAGGTGAGGCCTGACCCCTGGAACTTAGTCTAGTAGGGTAAGATTTTACTGGGCAACACATAACCCAGGGTTTAATTATATGCTGACAAGTGCCTGGATGGAAAGAAATACAGCTCTTTGTGACTACTGAACTTTCCTCCATTAGACTGTTTAGGGGGAAAAAAAGCAGTTGTCACATTTGTAAACATATATTCTTAAGCATTTATTTGTTTACAATTTGTTTAGGAAGGCTTTTTTGAGAAAGTGGTAGATACTACAGAGGCTATCTGAAGGTCAGTGGGAATGAAATAGGCTAAGGAGGAGAGGAGCGTATTCCAGACAGAGGGCTATGTATAAAAGCTGTGTGTGGCAGGACAGAATGTAGCGCATTAGCGACAGTTAAAGAAGCCAGTGTGACGGAGAGTGAGCTGGAGAGAGGTGAAGTCACAGAGGTGGGAGACATAACACAGGATTCAGCGCTCTGTTCGTCCCCAAGTGTCAACAACAGAGCAGAACTGGCCAATTGCTGCTAAGTGCGGGAGCGCAGCTGGCAGAAATAGAGATCAGCTTGTCCTACTGGTGAGGCACGCGTCCTCGGTGTCCCTGCCTAAGGACCACGAAATCCACGACAGCTTAAGAGAAAGGAGAGGCAAAGGAGAGGGGAAGCCGCAGGAGAGGGGAAGCCGCCCCCCGTACCGCGCCGTTTTCGCTGCTCTTCATTAGGCAGCCAGCAAGCGACGAAAAGATGTAGCCGTGCCTGGTGTAGGTGCCGCTGCCGGGGCTGCCTTCCTCCAAGTTGCACAGACGTTCGCCTGCCGAAAAAAAGCAGCAGCAGCTACGGACCCCAAAGGCTGTTGGCCATCCAGCCTTCCTGCCTCTGTCACTGTCCAGTATTTGCAGTGGGTACACTCACTTACCGGGGATGCAGTACCTCACGGGTGGCGCCATGACTGCCCCGGTCCCAGGCCCCGCGGGAAACGAAGTGGACTTCTCATTGGCTAAAATCCAGCAGCGCGCTGTAGTAAGAAACGTGCCAATTGGTGCGCTCCGTCACGTGACCGACGCAGCCTCTTCCAGGGGTAAACTCCAACTCCCAGGTTGCCCCGGGACGAGCGGGGCGGAGCTCTGGGATGCCTGCGCTTGCGCTCGCGCCTGCGGTCCAGGATGGGCTGGCGCCGGGTCTGGGTCTTTAGCCTGCCCCTCTGGGCAGCGGGCCATGGTAGATCGGATTGAACCCGGTCGGGCAGGGGCGCCGGCCTGGACAGGGTGACAGTGAAAGGCGGCGAAGGCTGCAGGGCACGATTTATGTGTGGAGAGTTCGGCAGTTTGCAGGTAAGGCGAAGCCGCGGCCTTTGCTCCCCAGTTCTGCACCTTTTTATAGGGTCGGGCCCTGTTCCGGTGTCTTCCAGGAGCCTGGGTTCCTGCTCCCTTGCCCCGCCCTGCGCGGCCCTGCCCTCCTCCACCGGGTCCGAGCGCGGCTAGACACCCGTATATAGAGAGGAGCTGGAAGGAGGTCAGCCAACCCAACTCACAGATTTGGAACTCAGATTCAGGAATACCGTGTGCTTTATTCATCGTCTCCAATGTAGTAGTTCAAGGTAGAGCCCAAGCTGGCATCCACATTTCTTGATTTCCTGATCATCGCGCATTGACCGGGCCATCCACACTGAGGAATACAACCTTTTCCTGTTTTTTTTTTTTTTTTTCGGATCCTTTTAAGCTCTCCGACGGAGGTTTAGTCGTGTGGACTCAACCATAACCTTTTCTCTTCCCAGTCCGTTCGTCAAGAAGGACAGTGTCCACATGAATAGAATGCTGCTTACATGTGCTGCCTGAGATTGTTAACATCCAGAGAGCAGTGTCGTTGTCCAGATGAGATTTGCTATCTCATCTCAGCTTCCTCTGCCTTTGGAACCACACCTTGTGTATGTCCCTCCTGCCCCTCACTCCCTAGAGAAACAGAGCTTTGGGAAGAGGGTAGAGCTATAGGTAGCCGGCAACCCCCTCTAATAGTGGCACATGTCACTATGGCTGTGGCTACTTCTGAGGGATCAGTGCCCAGGGCTTATGTTTGGGTGGTCTTGAAACTGCTGTGATGTTTACTACCCTCTTCACTCAGAGAGCATCGCTTCCCCCTCCCCTGCCTGCCTTAATTTTTGAGTTCTGCTTTTACTGCAAAATCCTGAGATGAAAATGTCTGTTCAGTTGTGGCTCTTGGACTACTATCTCCTCCCTGGCAGCCATGCAGACCCCCCAGACCCCACTAGCTAAGATGAAGGGACATGGCTTCAGACTCTGGTCTCTGAAATCTAATGTGTTGTCCTGAATCTGAAAGCTTTCTGTTTTCATGATTGGGCTGATTTCCTATTTTCTGAAATGCCTTCGAGCTGTTAAGTGCTGTTATTCAAACAATGGTTGTTACTTTTATAATCACGAAGAACAATAGCTTCAGACAGATACTTAGTGTTATCACATTGACAAGAATATCCTTGCTGATAGACATCTGACCAGCCTTCCATTTCTGTATCCCTCTAGATCATTTATTCAACAAAATTGAGTATTTCCATGAAGCAGGTACTGTGCTAATCAGCTCTTTGCAAATATTTCATTTATTGGGTTATTGGAAAAGTCACGATGCATTTTTGCTTGAAAAATAAAAAAAATATGTCATATATAGAATCATAGTATAGGTATAGAACCATAAAGGGTAGAGCTGGAAGGGACCTCAGCATTTAATCCTTCCTCCTTACTGAAAGGGAATACAAGAGATCTGAGGCCCAGCAGGGTTCAGTGATGTGCCCAAGTCACAGAACTACTTAAGTCGTCAAGTTATGAAGCAGATGGGAGCTGGCAAGTCTATTTTTTAAGACAGGCATTTCCTGTGGAGCTCAGGAGTTCCAGAAGTGGTTGAGAGTAATCTGAAAAGTTTAGAGTCTGGGAAGGAAGTTTTTTGTGTGTAGATCAGGAGAAATGGCATGTAATTTGGATTTGCTACAATCCATCTTAATTGCAAGTTATTGCTACGAGAAGTATTTTAGCAAGTAGGAAACTCTCTGTTACCCCTAGTAAGGGAGTGCATGGTAATAGCGACAGTCTGAGTCACTTGACTTTGTGTGACATAATCTGTTTTGTTCCAGTCTCACATTTGATTATGACTGTGTGCCATTCTGAAAGTTCATGCTTCAAGCCAAATCATGGTTCCAAATAAAAGGAATCCAACTCGAATGAGGCAGGAAGTTCCGGTGTTTCCTCTTGTCTCTTTCTACACTGCCTCTTAATTCTTTTCTTCATCGGTGTGATGGGGATGGCTGGTTCCTGTGTCCTGGTGTGGAGTGGGTGCCTGTGAAATGCCTTTCTTCTCTTTCTCTGTAGGCCTGGTCCTTTGGATTTCCTTTTGCTTTAGATCATTACAGGGCTTGTGGAAGGAGGTAATTAAGTGTTTTCTTTGAAAGGCCTCTTGTGGGAAGGAGCCAGGGTGCAAGGAGAGTACCTTGCTCCAGTTACTGAATTGAAACCACCCTACAGTGGAAGAGCCTCCTCCAGTTTCTTCTGGGTTTTGAGCTGCCTGTTAAATAAGTCAGTGGAGTTGCTAAGGACAAAGTAGCTATCAGGGAAAATCTCTGGTAAGGAAAAGAATTGAGACTTTTGAAAAAATCTGTGTCCTCTCGTTGGGCATTGCATGAGCGGCTGGCCTCCCAGGACTTTTGGGGATGGAGAACACTAATCCAACTCTTCCTGATGTGGAGGAGATGAAAACTCAGAGATGTGGAAGGGCTGAAAGCTGGGAAGCTTGGAACCAAGGACAGCAACCACAGAGAAAGCTCTCAGTGTTCAGCCAGAACAGGGCAACGGCGACTCACCCCTAACAGGCAGGCCCCATCTTCAGCATGGAGGCTCCCCTCTCTGCCAGAATCCCCCACCTGTGATGTTACTCTGCTCTGGATCCCTGAGGTTGTCCTCGCTTCGGTTTGGGGTAGGGCTGGGCCTGAAGTGGGAGACAAAGTGTCTTCTGTCACGCACGGGTAGTTGAGCTGTCCTGACAGGAGGTGGGAACTCCCATGCAGCCAGGTTGGGTCTGGTGGAGGCTGAGGGCAACGCAGAGGGTTAAGAAGGGTGACTATCTCTTCTGAGACTCAGGGGTGGGACCCGCCTGCTGTGCACTCATTCCCCCACTGGCTGACACTTGGTGAAGATAATTGTTAGAGGTAGGTCTGTCGCCAGGGCAGACAGGAGACCCTGAAGCCTCTGCCCCAGTGACCAGACCCAGAGATGGGGTGGGGGCAGCTCTGTCACATGGTTCTGCACTCCACCCAATGGTTTGTCTACAGACAACTCCAGAGACCCCTTTTCTGTGGTCCTTCACTCTAGGTCTGCATCATCTTGGATTTGCTGCACAGCTGCATAGTGTGATGTAAGTAGATTCTGCGGACTCTGAGCCTTCAAGCCTCCTACCCACCATAATCTGGCAGGGATCTTGGCACTGCACACTCCATGGAGAAGGGAAGTCACCGTCCTGTTTGGCATGAGTGACTGGGCCTGTTTTAGGCCTCTGTCCGTAGGTGCTCTGGGCTTCCCCTCGATGGGACCGGGAGGGCCCTGGGGCCGGCCCCTCACAGCAGTGTGCTCTCCTAGGAGCCATGCGGAGCCAGCGGAGCCTGCTGCTGGGCCCCGCCCGCCTCTGTCTGCGCCTGCTCCTGCTCCTGGGCTACAGGCGCCGCTGCCCACCTCTGCTCCGGGGCCTGGTACAGCGTTGGCGCTACGGCAAGGTCTGCCTGCGCTCCCTGCTGTACAACTCCTTCGGGGGCAGCGACACTGCTGTCGATGCTGCCTTTGAGCCCGTCTACTGGCTGGTGGACAACGTGATCCGCTGGTGTGGGGTGGTGAGTGAGGCCCGGGGAGCGGGAAGGTGTTTGGGACACTTGTCTGATGGAGTTGTGACAAGTTTGGGAGGCCAGCCCCCACCTGGGAGCTCCCTGGGGCCGCTCAGGGTGTGGGTGGGCTCTCGCTCTGTCTTCCTGACCTCACTGGTGTTGGCAGGTGTTCGTGGTGCTGGTGATCGTGCTGACCAGCTCCATTGTGGCCATTGCCTACCTGTGCGTCCTGCCCCTCATCCTCCAAACTTACTCAGTGCCACGACTCTGCTGGCATTTCTTCTACAGTCACTGGAACCTGATCCTCATCGTCTTCCATTACTACCAGGCCATTACCACTCCACCTGGATACCCACCCCAGGTGGGTTCCCTGGGGGCGGGAGGGAAGGGGAGCTGCAGGCTGTGAGAATCGTCCCACGAGTGGGCAGGGGAGTGCCTTGTTATCTTTTGAAGGACAAAACTGGTGCCGCCACAGTTGTCATTCTTTTCTCCCTTTACACAGGGCAGGAATGATATTGCAACAGTGTCCATCTGTAAGAAGTGCATTTACCCCAAGCCAGCCCGAACACACCACTGCAGCATCTGCAATAGGTGGGTTTGGCTTTGCTCCCTGTAAGCCCAGCTGTGGCCCTTCTGCTGTAGCTTGAGGGCAAGATCTAGACCTAGAGTTTGATCAGACAGTTGTGAAGTGCCTGTCGTGAACCAGGCCAGGAGAGGCGCCCTCCACATTATGACTCCGGGTCCGCAGGCTGGTCCTGAGTTAGACACCATCACCACTTGCGGAAATCTAGGTTCTGAGAGATGAGTTACCTTGTCCACTGTCACCTAGCCAGTAGAGCAGGGCTTACAACAAGGCCTGGCTGTCTTCAAAGTCTGTGCCCTTTCCACCTCAGCAGGATGCTGGTCCTTGTAGGAAAGGATTGGCACTGACATCTCAAGAACCTTGGCCACCGTAACAGAGCCTGTGTCCCTCCCTCACAGGTGTGTGCTGAAGATGGATCATCACTGCCGTATCCTTTTGTTATTGCTCCTGCCGAGGCTCCTCCTTTAGCTCCAGAGCACTGTGCGGGGTTGGTTAAGTCGTAAACCCAAGGCTTCTAGCGTCCCGTGCAGAGAACTCAGGGCTCGCCAGGTGTTAGGTGGAGTTGTGCTGGCCATCTCCTGGGGAGGCAGGAGGCTTGCAGGGTCTCTGGGGTGGGGCTTCTTGGAGCCAGGCACCTATTCTGATAGCTCTTGCTTCGGGAGACTGTCCTGCTGATGACTGATGGATGGGAGATGTTTGGGCCTCAGTGGTGATCTACTGGCTACACCAGATGCAACTTCTGATCCCCTTCTGCTGTCCCACACAGATGTCTGGCTAACCCAGCTAGGTTGAAGTAGTGGCAGATTCATTTTCCTGAAGGAGTTCAGAATTTTCATGATGTCCTGGTGGTTTTGAGGACTCTGAGAAACCTATGACACTTTTATCTCAACCTCTGGGGACAGCTTCATATATTCCTGCTTTTGATAATAGTTCTTGGTGACTGGCAGCCCTGGCCTTGGATGACATCGTGACCGAGGGTCAGGCCTTCTGAAGTTGTGTTGGATCTTATCCTTAATCCTTCCTCTGCCAGCCTGGCTAAACAACTGTGTGGGCCACTATAACCATCGGTACTTCTTCTCTTTCTGCTTTTTCATGACTCTGGGCTGTGTGTACTGCAGTTACGGCAGTTGGGACCTTTTCCGGGAGGCTTATGCTGCCATCGAGGTGAGCCCATAGCCAGGGGCAGGGCAGCTCAGTAAGGGAAGTGTGGATGTGGAATCTGTCTCTAAGGAGTTGTCCCCCACCCTAGAGGCCGGAGAGTATAACCAGCATTGTTTTCCATCCCCTTAGAAAATGAAACAACTCGACAAGAGCAGACTACCGGCTGTTGCCAACCAGGTGGGCTGTCCCCACCCCACTGCCTCCTGCTGCTCAGGCCAGGGGTGCGGTTGCTGAGGCAACTGGGGCCGCCCCACTGGTTGAGTCGCAGACCAGATCAGGAGCGTTCTGGGAGGCTGCCTACCTTGGGCACACAAGTGACCTGGGGACAAACTGAAAAACCCTGCTGTTCCCAGCTCTATCCCATGATCACCTCCTTTGGGCTGAGTGAGGACTCTGCCTAGGTGATGGCCTGAGCAGCAAGGAGTCTGTGTTAGTCTGTGTAATGGGGTTCCAGGGGACAGAGATCAGGCCGGGCCCATCTGACCATCCTTCGTTCTGGGTCTGTATCAGGATTGTTCCGTGTCCTGAGGCCTTTAGGGCTCTTCTGAGCAGATCTTGGGCTCATGATTGTACTTCTGCTGGCCTTTGGGTCTTTAGTGGAGCTCAGAGTTCTCCCCCATTCCATTCTGGGTATCTGCCCTCCACGCAGCGTTGGCTGCCACAGTGAAGTTCTTGCTGGGGAGTGGAGGGCCTTCCCCTGGAGCCCCATTTGTGTTGTCAAACCTCAAGGCCCAGGGTCACTTCCTTCTGTGCTTTGCCATCCTGTCCAGACCCGCTCTGCCCAGTGTTTGTCCACATGATGATGCCGCTGGGCTTGGCCCACCCATTTGGCTGCTGCCCTGACTCCTCTGTGGCTTTACCCCCTATTTTTCTTGTCCTGGGCCTGGGTCACTTTCCTGCCTGAAGGTGATGGGGACTCTGGGAGAAACTAGCAGAGCAAATGAACCAGACATGCTGTTTTCTTTTTCTAGACTTATCACCAGACCCCACCGCCTACCTTCTCCTTCCGAGAAAGGGTGACTCACAAGAGTCTTGTCTACCTCTGGTTCCTGTGCAGGTATTTCACTCTTCCCTTTGGACTGTTTGAGGGGCAGCTTCGGAAAACCCTATTTTTAGTGCTCACATGCAGTTAGGAACCCATCCTCATCAGAATTGCTGTGGTCTTATACTCAGCAAAGGGTCAGAGCTTAATTTTCTTCTGCATTTTGGGTCAGGGAAAACTAAGGACATTAACATTGAAGGTTTTTTATGTACCAGGGTAAATGAACTTGCTGAAGGGTAGGTGGCTGTACTTTATGGATGAGGAAAGCTAGCAATGAGAAAGGTGATTTGCTCCAGAATACACGTCTGGGAAGGGCAGGGCTGGAATCGGAACTTTGTGCCATCCCCTTCAGCCCTTAGTGCCCTTTGCTTCCAAGCATGGGTATTTGGGGAAGCTCAGAATGTCTTTATTAGTAAAGCAGACTTATTTCCCCACTCTCCTTTCCACATAATTTACTCAATCCATGTTGATGCTTTTCCAGTGGTGCTTTTTATGGATGAGCAGTAGAAGTTCATCTAGGATGTAGACTGGGACATGAGATATGAGAAGTTCCTAGCCAGTTACTGCTCAACTCAGTTTCAGATCTGCTGGTAGTCTCCAGCTCCCTCTTGAGCAACCCACCAATCTTTGCTCTTCTTTCAGTTCCGTAGCACTTGCCCTGGGTGCCCTAACTATGTGGCATGCTGTTCTCATCAGTCGGGGTGAGACTAGTATTGAAAGGCACATCAACAGGAAGGAGAGACGTCGGCTGCAGGCCAAGGGCAGAGTGAGTAGGGCTTGGGGCAGAGGGGAACCGAACCCGTCACCTCTGACAGAGGCCGTGGTCAGGGCCATCTAGGGTAGGCATCATGAAAGGCCAGGACTTCCAGGTCCTCCCTGGTGGCTGGGGCTTTAATGGGTTAAAAGTGTAGCACTACGAAGCTCTCCATAGCCACTGAAGCACAAGCTCGATCCCCAGCCAGGGAGGTGACCCACATGGTGCAGCAGGCCTCTCTTGGCCCACCCACTGCTCCCCTCAGCAGTATATTTCAGTCATTCTGCCTGTTCTGTTCCCCACTCTGTCTCTGGTGAATCTTCTCACCTCCTGCAACTCTGGCAGGTGTGCATAAATAAATAAATCTTAAAAAAGAAGAAAAAAAAAAAAAAGGCCAGGACTTCCCCATGCTGAGTTTTAGCCAGTTCAAACTTGAAAATGAAAAGGGTTAGATTAGGTAAAAGGGTTTTATAGAGACATGTTTTTCTTGGCTTTAGATTTTCAAGAATCATTACAACTATGGCTGCTTGGACAACTGGAAGGTATTCCTGGGTGTGGACACGGGAAGGTAAAGTAAAACATCAAGACTAGTGTCCGTGAGAATGTGCTCCGCCTATGCCAAGATGCTTGTCACATGTGGCTCCTGAAACGCTAGGCATGTGGTTAATGCGCCCAGGAACTGAATTTTTAATTTTATTTTTACTAACTTAAATAGGCTGGTGGTTAGTGGCCATTACCTTGGACAGTGGAGTTTAGACTCAATGCAGATCATTGCTCATTTAAGCAAAGGGTATAAGGCCAAAACTGTGGATTAAATCTCAGATGAGGTTTACAGATGACATCACAAGAATCCCAAGAAAATTGTTCTCAGGGAGGGCATGGGAGACACTTGTTTGAATAGCAATGTGTGGAGCTCAGTCCGGTCCTTTGTGGAACCGAAGTCATCTGTAACAGGCCCTAAGGTAATGAGTGGAGCTAGACAAGAGATCGAGTGTAAATAATTCAGATTGCAACTACTAAGGCAGTAACAGCTGATCAGAAGTACTGCCCTCCTTCCCTTCCTGCTCTTGTTACATTTCTGCCTGTCTGTGCCTGCAGTGGCTCCTCAGAACTTTAGCTCAAAACCTGTAAAGGTTTTCAAGGAACCAGAGGGCACATCTGTTGGCCAGTAAATTTTTTGTTACCTTTGTGATTAAGGCCAAGGTAGCTTCAGATACCTTATGCATCTCTTGCTAAGAAATGCGGATCAGGAAGAAGATTAAGAACTCATGGAACTCAAACATTTCTGTCTTCTTTTGTAGGCACTGGCTCACTAGGGTGCTTTTACCTTCCAGTCACCTGCCCCACGGGAACGGAATGAGCTGGGACCCGCCGCCCTGGGTGACTGCTCACTCAGCCTCTGTGATGGCAGTGTGAACTGGAGTGTGTCAGCTACAACTTGAACGTCACTCTGCTTCCTGCTCTGTCTCAAGGACCTCCAAGGGTAGCGTCTTGGCATCTTTGAACAAAAAGAGCCAATGGCTTGCCTTAGGGTAATGTGCAGGGAAACTCAAGGACCAATTTCCCAGCCACTGCAGAAGCAAGGCACGATGTGGAAAAACTAGGACTGATGTCCCTTTACTCAGGCAAACAAGTCCCAGGCCCAGACTGGAGATTAGGCAGCTAGCAACCTTGCCGGTGCTGACCCCACCTCATCCAGGCTACAGCACGGGGTTGGCCACCTCCTCTTTCACTTGCTGTCTGAGAAAACACCTGAATGGTTGAGCTGAGACTGTGGCTTCTCTACACGGCAGGTACCAGGCTACTGCTGAGGTCACTGCCACTTCTCACGTGCTGTGAAGGGAGCAAAAATAAAGGTATTTGGTTTTTAAAGATACGCAGCTTCTCATGCTTTGCCCACTCTAGGGTGGGGAAGGAGCCATCTGGAGCAGTGCCTGGAGAACAGGTGCTCTGCACATGACACTCGTGCCCAACCTGGAGCTCCTGGAGAATTCTTGGCTAAGCCCTGACATCACTGTTCCTCCAGCTTAGTTGCTTCAGTAGTGATGCTCCTGGTTATGAGCTACTGAGGCCAAAGTGTGGATGGGGAGATACTCTACAGCTCATTACCAAAAGAAATCTTTATTCCCTAGCAGGCACACACACTAGCCACCACTGGTCCTCAGGGCCACTCATCTGCATTCATCAGCAGTACGCCTCCCCTGTGGAAGTGGAAGAGCCCGTGCCCAAGATCTTTCCTCAGACCCACGTAGTCTCAGACAGAACTCAGAAACTGACAGGCCCACGAGGGGTCAGAACCCCCATGTTTCCTGTACAGTCACCAGGGGCTCAGCACTTGCTGTGTCTGTGGGACAGGCAACCAGAGACAGTGCTCTCCACGCCTTGGGCCAAGGGGCTCGTTCATTAGTAGTTCCAGATCAGATTGTCAGTGGGAGCAGTCTTGGCCAGGACCGACAGCTCAGCTGCCAGGGCTCCCTAGCAGAAACCTGTAGCAAAAAGAATGTTGGCACCATTAGTGGTGAGGCTCTGTTCAATCCCATCTCGCCCAAGACCTAGAAACTGACCACTCTCCCCTGGCGGACACTGCTTCCTTGCGCACCAGCCTCTTCTTGTCATCCAGGGGTTTGGCTAAGGCCCGGATCACCTGCGGTTTGTACGGCAGCAGCTGTGGAGTAAGAGGAACTGATCTTAGTCTCGCTCAGCCATAGCACCCACAAGAGCCACTTCTCTACACCTGAACTTCACCTCTCTTTGGGGACTCTGGCCCCTGCCAGGTGGCTGTGGTGCAGTCAGGCATAGCCCGTCCCTGTGCCTGCGTGCAGCGTGGTGGTGGCGGCGGGGCAGTCCCACCTGACTAAGGGAAGTAATTCTTTGGCTCTTTTGAGACAGACACCCGACGGACTCACCACAGGGGTGGGCAGGCATGTGAGCGCATGCATGCACTGCAGCGCGGCGATCCGGATGGCCTGGAACACAACAAGGGGGTGAGGGGAGCTCTGTGATGGAGAGCCGGAGGTGCCCGAGCTGCTGGGGTGCAACGCACCATGGCGGGGTTAGAGCTGAGGTTCAGAAACTTGGTGACGAGGGTATCGACGTGAAGACACATGACTTGCGGTGCTTCCAGCAGAAGAGGCTGAAGGCAGCTGAGGGTGGAGAGCTGTACCACACTGTCAGGACAGGACAGGGCCTCCAGCAGCAAGGAAAGCAGCTGAGGGGGTCACAAAAAGGTGGGGATGATGAGAGGTGTTCTCCCCTTTGCAGCCCTCGCCCCAGCTGGAGACAGTGGCTTGGTTTCTGCTTGGAGGCTCCGACTGCAAGGCTTACCGTGGGCAGCTCTGGCAAGAGCACAGACTTAGGCAGTCTGTTAAGTACGTGAGACAGACCCTTCATGTAGTTGGACTTTACATCTGTAAAAGATGGAAAAGCTTAGGGGAGAAAGCTCACACATACAGCTTTGAGAATCCAATTTCTGATGAAGCTGGGATATCAGCCTACAAAGAGGTTACAAAGAAATGCCCTGAAACCCAGAATATGCAGATCTATGTCCATCAAAGAAAAAGAGTGAATCAACAATCCGGAAGTTTAGCCCTTTGGGTGCAGACCACACTATTGCTTTAAAGAAACACTTGGCCTCCCTGGAGGTGCAAGGGGTTAAAGTGCAGCACTCACCCCCTGCACTTTTGGCCTGTACCCCAGTTCTTATATGCATAAATAAATCTTAAAACAAACAAATAAGCAACAAAACACTTGGGTCCTTAACTTCTTTTAGGCAGTGTGGCTTGCACAAAGGAGAGGTCTGAGGATCTGGGACCTTACTTCACCTTGGGGAGCGGCATAGAAGCCTTGAACCAAAGCAGGCATGTTGTCTGTGAAGAACCGCTGGCGGAACATGATCCGCACTTCAGCATGGCCTGCACGAGTCAACACGTCAGTGCAGTCAGACATGAGCACGGAGAAGCCATCTGCTGCTACTGCACCTAGTTCTGGATCCTTTAGGAGGCCTATGAGCTGGAGGAAAGAGAGCCTTGAGGTAGATCAGAGAAAAACCTTAATACCCAAAAGAAGAGGATGGCAGTTGTAGGTGGGAAGTTCTGATAGGTCTCAGGTCTGTCTCCAGAAAGGACTTACCCGGTTTGTGAGGCAGGAGCAGAGAGGATGGTATCTGAGTACAAGGGCCTTTGTCACCTGCAGTTGGAGAGAAGAGTCAGGGCATGCCAGTCCAACCACAGAACTTGAGAGGCATACCTGTGATCGCGGTCAAATGGACACATTTTATTTTAACCAGACTGCCTAACCAGAATGCATTCTTGCTCCGTACCCAGAGAAGCAGTATGAAGGCCTGGCTACGACAGGACCCACTGCTCAGGCCTGCCTCCACTCTGTCCACAGCCAGCTGTAGGAACTCGTCAAGCTGTTGCCCTAAAGAGGAGAGAGTAAATGCCGATGCAAAGACTGTTTCTCTTTTAACGGTGCAGGTGTAAACCATTGAAATGCAGTGCCCCCTGGGCCGCTGTTAGAAAGAACAGTATCGTGTGCTGGGGACCTGACCCACTCAGCTCTCCGAGCCCAGCCTGTGAGCCCGGCTTGCTCGTAACGCAGGCGTGCTAGCATTCAGAGTGGTCTACTTCTCAAAGAATTCTTCACAACTGCTCCCTGAGGGAGGATGGTGATAGAACCAGACAACACTTTGCTTGTGCCCCCTTATCTTCACAGGTCCTGTAAGGCTTCGCCCCATTCAGGTCCCAAGCGCTGTCCCTTGAGAAGCCCTATCCTATTACTAGCAGGCTCATTTTTTGAAGAGAGAGAGTGAATTCAAGAGTTCACTGGTCATTGATTCAGGGAGGCCCCCGACCCACAGCCTCACCCCAGTACCTGCAGGGTGCTTGTTGAGGAGTCCTGCAAAGCACTTGGCAGCAGCAGTGGAGGAGAAGGGGCAGCTGGGGCAGCAGCTCAGCTCTAAAAGCTCCCGCATGAGTTGGTTCAGCTGAGGGATTTCCACCTACAGAAGACCTGGCTATGTAATGGACCCAGAGAACACCTGAATGCCAACAGATACTAGAAGAGGCAGTGGGGGCCAGGCTGAATGAAAAATTCTCCAGTGGGGAAAGCAGATGATCAGCTCAGCCTGAAACGAATGCCAGCCTGAAGTTGCCAGGGAACCAGTTAAATCAGGATACTCCCCCAAACGTGTTCACTTACATTTCGCGGCAGGGAACAGACAAAGGCCATAAGCAGTGCCACCAGCCTTCTCTGTCCTGAGGAGCCACCCTATAAATGGAAGAGCCTATCAAGCCTGTCCTGCCAGCAACAGGCTGCTCAGCCCCAAGACCCATTGTGGATTACCCCTTAAAAATATTCTGAATGACAGAAGTCCCAAGATTCTCCCCATCTGATCCATCAGACCTGTACCTGGAATGGCTGGAATCTGCAAGGGAAGCTGTTTCCAGGCAGAAGGGAGATGTCGCCATCCAAGAAGAGGGGCACAATGCGAGTGGCGCTCTGGGCGGCTAAGCTGAGGTAGAGTACCAGGAGTCACCAAGGAGCCAGGCCTCTACAGCAGCCTTAAGGTTCACATTAGTCACCGAATCAATGGGCCAGGCAAAAATGTTCACGCATCGGACAAATCTTAACTCAGAATGCATCAGATGCCAGGAGCCATGCTTGTTTTTGGCCCTACTGTAAATACGCCAGCAAACAGACATTCTTCTGAAGCTTGCTAGTGAGAGAACCCAACGTGAATTTAAAAATACTTCAGTGACTCTCAGCACACATCTGCAGCCTGTTGTCCCGCAGCCCGTGGTGCTAAGAAGCCCCTCCTTACGTTGCCAGATAAACTGACAAAAGGAATAATTGCCTCCACGTTTGAGTCTGGGTGGGAGAGTTCAGAAGCAGCTGTCTGCTGCTTCGACCCCGTCTGCTATGCTTCTTCCTGGGGTCAAGCCGCATCTGTGATTATACTCACTCAGGGCTCAAGTGTGTGGTGGCGGCGCCAATGACAGCCACGACGGCGGCCAACACCTCCTCCTCCAACAGCACTTTCCCCAGAACTGAGGGCTCCTTTTCTGCGATCAAGCACACACAGTGGCAGACCTCGACTCCGGCTCAGACGTCCGACTGATCAGGCCCCACTGTCCTGGCTCTGGGCTTGCACTCGCGTGACCCCACCAGCAGTTTGAGCCTGTCGTCGTGCGGTGCTGCAGCTGAAGCTAGCAAGGCTTCAGAACAGGAGGGTGCAGTGTGGGCCAGAGAGCTCGCAGGGGCTCTGTGCCGTCCTCAGACTGGCAGCACTGTTAACTAAGGCCAGTTAATATGAAGGTTTCTAACATCAGATGTCATTTAGTCTTTAAAAAATCTGAAGCCAGTATGGCTTTATCTTATTTTAGTAGCTACTATACACAGAATACTTAAAGAGGATGGCCAGGCACTACACATTATTTAATCCTTACCAACTATTTTGTGGTACTTTTAATCTCTCTCTTACACATGAAGAACTAGAGGCTTAGAAAGGCTAATTTGCTGAAGTTAGCAGGTGCTGGAGCTGAAGAGCCAATCCAACTTGGCCTACTTGATTTCATGATTTAACTCTAACTAAACTATTGGGCTGTTGGAAAAGTCATGACACAGTTTTTGTTTTTTGAAGGAAAAAACACATCATGAATTTTTCAACAACCCAATACATGGCAATGAAAAGGAAGGAAGACGTGTGTGCGTGCTTTTGAGCAAAAAGGCTGGCGCTTTTTGCTAGAAGATAAATCTCATTCTGGGGGACAAAAGGTTTTCCATATAAGCCTCTGCAGGTACAAAATGCTACACCAGTGACACCCCGAGGCAGATAGTGCTGTTTAACAAATGGGAGCCACAGTGCCAGAGGAAGACCAGGAGGGGAGGTGGGGAGTCACCTGGCATGGAAGCCTGCACAGCCAAGGCCAACAGGAAAGGCACGGCCGTCTGATGGAAGTACCAGCAGCTCTCAGGGTCCTGCTGGCATTTTTCTGCCACCTGCTGGAGGCTCTGACAGACGACAATGACTTCAGCTGGTCCTGCAACCATGTTGCCTGCGTGGTGAGAAATTGTTCACTGCAGGGCCCTGTCTGGTGGTGCAGAGGGTTAGAGCGCAGCACTACAAGCCAGCTGCAGCTGCTTCAGTGCAAGTTCGATCCCCAGCCCTGGGGGTGACCCACATGGTGCCGCAGACCTCTCCTGACCCGCCCGCTGCTCCCCTCAGCAATGTACTTTGCTGATCTGCCTGTTCTGCTCCCCACTCTGTCTCTGGTGAATCCTCTCACCGCCCCTGAGCCTCTGGCCTGTATCCCAGTTCTGTATGCATAAATAAAACACATCTTTTATATATATTTAAAAAAATGTTCACTGTAAGGTTTTCTTAATAGCACTCCAGGGTATTTTGGCTACAGAAGGGGCCAAGAACAAGCAAAGATGAGTGACTTAAGAGATCAATAAAAGAGTCAAGTCATTGGGCCTCCTTGGTGGTGCAAAGGGTTAAAGTGTCAGCACTATCCAGCTTTTCACAACTATTGCAGCACGAGTTCGATCCCCAGCCAGGGAGCTGACCTCTCCTGATCCGCCTGCTGCTTCCCTCAGCAGTGTATTTCAGTGGATCCGCCTGTTCTGTTCCCAACTCTGTCTCTGGTGAATCCTCTCACCTTCCCTGAATCTCTGGCCTATACTTCCATTCTTGCATGCATAAATAAGAAATAAATCTTTATAAAGAATTAAGTCATTTCACTCTCTCAGTTGCTTTTTTCATCTATTCAGATTTTGGAGCTGAGACTTGCCCTATGCTAGGCTTTGCAACAAAAGTATCGCATACATTTTCTTATTTTTCTTCTCAACCCTAAAGCATCATTTCTCCCATTTTATAGAGATGTAGAGACTCAATGAAACCAGCTTTCACTGTAGGGCTTCCCAGGTTACTTCTACTATGCAACACTTTCTGAATTCACCACAAAGACCAGGCAGTGCAAAACAAGGAGCTTGAGATGTTGGGGCCCGTGGTGAACATGCAGAGATTTGCAGTAGCAACTGCTGCTGTCATGTATGCCTTGGAACAGTGCTTCTCAAGCTTGAGGGTGAGTATGAGTTACCTGAAATCCTGTTAAAATGAAGATTCTGTTCAGTGGGGTCTGAGATTTTGCACTTTTAGTAAGCTCCCAGATAAAGTACATGACGCTGTCTGGGACCATATTTTGAGAAGCAAAGCCTGAGAGTGGGGCTGTTCAATTCTGACTCCACATTAAAATCACCCAGGCTCTGTAGCCCAAATCCACACCTCCTCAGGATTGACTCAGCTGCACTGAGGCCCAGGCATCAGCATTTTATTTTAAAAGTTGCCATGTGACTCATGTAGCCATTGTTGGAACCACAGCCTTAGAGGCATCAACTCTGAACCTGATTGTAGCTGCCTATTCAGCCCAGCCCTTAATCAGACTGTTCTGGTAATTACCTTTGTTCATCTGGCCGAGATGCTGTAGCAGCAGTGGGAGCGTCTCTTTGACAATGCTGGGATGTGTTGATATAGCTGCCAGGGCTTGCAGACAGCACAAGTGCCGGGAGCGCCTGGTGGGCCTATCCCCTTTAGCCAAATCCGACTCTTCTGAAAACCCAGGAGGCAAAGTTTCATCATGTGACGGCGAGCACACAGGCACAAGCCTCCCCAGAAGGGCTGGACCAGAGAAGCGTACCTATGCGTAATTCCTCAGCAAGCCGGGGCACTAGGTGGCTGCTGAAGACCACAGGGTGGAGAGCGGCCAGTTTTCCCGATGCTTCCAGTGCTGCCACCCTGCTGAGAACACAGGTGGGCATCAGCTAAGCCTTGGCCCACTGGTCTCTTGCCTACAGGCCTGCTATTAGGCAGACACAGGACTGTGGACTTCTGAGGCCACTTTGTGAAGAGTGGGTTCAAGTCCCTGCACCACTAAGTTGGACAAGGCTCCTTAACACCCAGAAAAGAGAGGCAGTTGCATAATCCAGCTAGTTAGCAGTAGAGCCAAGCACAGAGCCCACCTTCCCTAGGGAGAGCCAACGCCCAGAAGCACAGAACCCTGATCCTTGCTGGTTCTGCTGCTGATCCCACAGACGCAGCAAATGGCTGGCTCTGTCTTGTTGCTGTAGATTCTCACCAATTCTGGGGATCCTCGTCCAGGAAGCTGAGTCTGTATAGGTGACCCACTGCTGACTCCAGGTCCCCAGGAGACAGTAGGCCTGTGTTAGAAGGGCACAAGTCTCACCTTCTTTCCCTTCTGGCCACTGTAAGCCTTCACTTCCAAACCAGCGGTGTTGCAGTGGGAGCCAGGGGATTAAGTTGCTCTTCATGTAAGACAGAAGATGACAAGATAGGGCCCAAACTCCCCTTTCTCTTTTCTTGGGTACCTGGCTGAGCCCCCAACACCACGAGAGCACGGATGCCAACAAGCTGAAGCTGGGTGCTGGGGTCTGTCAGGGCTGTGAAGACCAGCGAGCACAGCTGGTCCTTGAAGCCTCGCAGGGGCCTTTCATCTAGGAAGAGACAGAGTTCAGGTTAGCAAGAATCCCTGCCGGACACCGCTCAGACTCAGCTCTACACAAAGCCCGCTTGCGGCAGCACACCGAGGCAAAAAACCTATGTTAAGTGTTCTCTGCACTCCAACTCAGGACAGGGCCCGGCTCCAGACCACTTCTCTGCAGCCCTCGTCACCTGAGTCTTTCTAGGGTGCTACGTCTGGAAGGTGAGCTCACCCTTGTCTTCAGAGATCCATTTCTGCTGTAGCTTCAAGAAACCCACGATCATTTCAAGGATTGTCCGCCGCTGGTGGCTCTGTAATGTTTTAAGGATGCAAGGAATATTTTCAAGGCTTCCAATACTGCTCTGGGGTGGGAGAATTACCCTTTATGTGTCACACTAAGAGAGAACAGGGGAAGCACAGCAGCTCACGGAGCAAAGCCCAAGCTTTTCTGTGTCCAGCACAAGGCGCAGCCTGCCCTCTGTGAGCGCGCAGGTCCCCCGCTTCCTGCAGAGGCCCCGCCCCTTACCTGGCTGTGCTTGGAGAACTGTTCCAGCAGCAGTGGCAGCACGTGGCTGGTGATGTGGTCACAGGCTCGGGCAGATCCACCTGCAGCCGCCTGCAACAGTTTGGCACTAGGCCACACCAATTTCATGTCCGGTTCACACAGATGGTGCCTGCAGTCTAGAGAGGCAGCACATCACACCTGGGAAGCAGGCAAATGGGGCCTGATCCTCTCTCTGCAGGTCTCAGGTGAACAGAGGCCAGGGCGGGTCACTAGCAGTTCCCATTTGCTTGTTTTCAGCTCAGAGCGGGGCTCCAGTCCCTGGGCTCTGTACATGCCACGCCACTGGCTCTTCAGGATTCCTCCCTGTTGTGCTCACTCCCCTTTCTGGCTGTCATGACCCCATTACCCTGTTCAATGTTGCTGAGAAAGGAGTCAAGGAGGTCCTCAGCATCGGCCCTCAGCACAGAGCGAGACAAACACGCAGTCAGGGAGCGGAGGGCCTCTAGGCCCTCTGCCTCCACCCGTTCACTTGCCGTCTGGAACACCTGTCAGAGAGGGATCCCATGGCTACTGAGGTGAGCTCGTACCAGGTGAGACCCCACCCACCTGCTGCCACTTTCCTTGGTGTGTGTGAGAGAGAACCTTTAGGGCACAGCAGTGGGAACTGCGCCCGCGAGGGAGTTTCTTCCCAGTGTATTCTCGAAGTCCTTAGTTGCACTAGGGTCAGCACACACACTTTTTGGGAAACAGAATGCCAGCTCTGACAGTGGCGACTGGGATCCCCAATCCTGAGTCATTTCCTCTATTCCTCTGCTCAGCCTGGTGCCACGGGCACCATGACCTAGGATTCTTACAAGGAAAACCAAGAAATACACCCACGCAAAGGTGATCAAATGCCACCACCAAGTTGCTGAATCTCACACAGGGATTACTTCCCTCACCATCAACAAGAAGTAAGTCTCCTTGCTTGCTGAGTGAACCAGGAACCGCAAAAGCAAGAAAAGGAGAGTGTACCATTTCCCCTCAAGCCTGGAAACTGGGCTAGGAGTCAGTCTGTTTAAGTACACTCACCTCTCTGCGGATGGAAGCCCAGAGGCTGGGCAGGAAATCCTTCAGCTCCTTCTGTCCATAGACAGCACAGCAAGCACTCTGCCAAGGAAGTACAGGATCAGCTAGCTCCACCCTCCCGGGGCGTGCAGGCACCTCAGCAGGGGCACCTGAAGGAGCCTGGATTTCAGCAGAAACCCAGAAAGATTTCCTTACAGTTCTACACGGGCAAAGAAAACAGGAGTTCACCCGACTGAAGGAAAGCAAACACGTGGGGACCCTGGTCAGTCTTTCCCCACTTCTCCCAATATGCAGCTAGGGCTTTAGGTCAACTTACAGGCCCAGATCCTGGTCATCGCTATTTTGAGGACTACTTCATTCCCTGGCTGTTCAAAACTCTGTAATTACTTGGCAAATCTAAAGGCAGCTAGATCTTGGAAGGAGAAAAATCACTCACCAGAGTCTGCAGAGAATCCAGCTTGGCTCCTACAATCTCAGAGTCCACTTTCTCAATCAGCAAGGGCAACAGGAACTATGGCAGTGAAAAACAACCCAGGTTTTAGATGGGAAGTGTTGTGGCCACATCTAAGCCAACCATATCCTCAGGGTAAGTACTACAGCTTGAATCAGGAGTTGAGACTAAGCTAACCTTCCCACCAAACTGTGGTCAAACCTCCAGTTACCTGAAAATGGGCAAAGTTATAAGGTTTCAAAAGAGAGCACTGGATAGGGAGTAGATCACTATTTTTTTTTTTTTTTAAAGATTTATTTATTTATTCATACAGAACTGGGGTACAGGCCAGAGATGCGGAGGGTGAGAGGATTCACCAGGGATAGAGCGGGAAGCAGAACAGGCAGATTGAGGAGGTACACTGCTGAGGGGAGCAGCGGGCGGGTCAGGAGAGGTCTGCCAAGCCATGTGGATCTCCTCCAGGGCAGGCGGGGATTGAACTCATGTGGTAGTGGCTTAAGCTTCTTAGTGCTGTGCTTTAAACCCGCTGTGCCACAGGGAGGGCCCTACACTATTTTTTTTTTTTTTAAGACTGATTTATTTATGCATACAAGAACTGAGGTGTAGGCCAAAGGTGGGGTGGGAGGTGAGAGGATTCATCAGAGATAGAGTGGGGAGCAGAACAGGTGGACCTACTGAAATATACTGAGGGGAGCAGTGGTGGAGACAGGAGAGTTCTGCTGTGCCATGTGGGTCAGCTCCCTGGCTGGGGAAAAACTCATGCTGCAGTGGCTGGCAATGTATGACAGTGCAGTCTTTAACCCCTGTAACACCAGGAGGCCTGGGAGTGGATTACTATTTTAAAAGGAGATGGTAACGTTTTCTACTTTGAAGCTCTAAAGATACTTGGCACACAAGTCTGGAGACATCTGCAGAATGTCATACCCTAAAATTAGTCACTGGAGCTTCTTTTCCCCCAAGCTTTTACTGTTCTTTCTTCAGAGCCTTTTATGGGCTAAGGCTAGTTATCGTAACCTCAGCTAGACCCACCTCAGCAAACTGTGGTGTAGAAGCCAACACAGCTCGAAGACTCAGGATGAGATCTTCTTTCTGGATACCATGAGGATCATTAGGTGGCTGCAAAAAAAGAGAAGGGTCATGGATTTGTACAAATCTTTGGACGACCACTGGACACAGGCTTGAACCTGATGACCCTCCGGGGTGATGGATACAAGCAATCTGGCAGCACAGTATGATGTAAGGTTCCAGCAGGAAGACATGCTTGCTTTTACACCTTTCTTGGTGTACTTATTTATTATCTGATCTATCACCTCACCACTCAAGAGTCAATCACCCTTAACTTTTGGTGCATTACTTTCTTCTCCATGAGTAAATTATAACTATGAGTTAGTAGACAGTTTCCCTTTAAAATACACATACCATTAATAAACGTCACTTCTTTTGTACATATAATTTGTAATTAATTTTTTCACTAAAACTTAAGAAAATTTTTTTATGGCATTAAGTTATTCCTTCATAACAGTGCTAGTTACTGATACTATTTTACTGTGTGGCTGAATCACAATTTATTTAAAAAAACTCCTTTTAATGAACATTTCTATTTTTTCACACTCATAAAAAGCTGTAATTTTGGCAATATAAAAAGTATCAAAATGGCAGACTGAAAACACGCATAGATTTTCCTGTCCTCTTTAGAAATCTCACCAAAAATACAGTAAGAGAATATTCTTTGTGTGTGTGTGTGTGTGTGTGTGTGTGTGTGTGTTTTAGAAGAATAAAGCTGGGCCCTCCATGGTGGCACAATGGGTTAAAAGTGCAGCATTATGACGTTATCCGCAGCTACTACAGCATGAGCTCAATCCCTGCCCCGGAGGTGACCCACATGGTATGGCAGGCCTCTCCTGACCTGCCTGCTGCTCCCCTCAGAAGTGTACTTCAGTCAATCTGCCTATTCTGCTCCCTATTCTGTCTCTGGTGAATCCTCTCAGCCACTGCACCACCCCTGGCCTGCACACCCCAGTTCTTGTATGCATAAACAAACAAACAAATAAATAAATAAAAGGAATAGCAAGATATGAAGAAACTAGTTAAAAAAAAGCATAAAGCTAAAAGGTTGAGGAGTACAAAATAAGCAATGTTAGCAACAAATTTAGAAGCTGAAAAGCAGATGGGTTAAAAGAAAATGATTTCGCAGAGCTAAGACACAAGAACCTCAGTAGGACTGGGGAAAACTGACTAACTACCTGTACACACTGCAAAATCCTCAAAAACTGTCAGTCCCAGGTATTTCTGGAACAGGGGTAAGAGAAGACATCTGACCTCTAAGATTGCCTCCTTATTTCTTCCTAACTGCAGCAGAATCTGGAGATTTCATTTTCTGGAGAGGGTAAGACAAGGTCTCCAGACTTGGAGATGTACTGGGATTTAGGACCTGGTGCTACACCAAAAGAAGAGGTGTTAAGTTATATGATGTGGATTGCTGCCATCTCCTTTTATCACCTCCTTTTATCTAAGAAACGTCTATACCTGAAAAAGAGCTCAAAATAAGCTGAAAAAGAGGAAAAAGCAACAAAGCTTGCAGGAAACAAGTACCATATGTATGAGAAAAGAAATATTAAAAATTAGTATCTTAATGTTTACAAAACAGATTAAGAAAGTAATCCATACGTGAGTTAAACAAGAACAGAATGCTATTTAAAAAAAGAAAACCATTCAGAGATCATCATCAATGATGTCCTGTCAAATATCTAACTTGATGCATGAAACAGGCCCACACTAAGGCACATTATTGTGAAATTTCAATATGTTGGTGGCAAAATCACATTTAAAAGCTTCCAGAAAGGAGGGGGAAAAAGGTGAACACAAAAATTTCAACTTAGAAGGAATTTAGACTTCTCCCTATAACTGAAAACTAGAGGTAAGTATAACAATGCCTGCAAAATCTTGCTGGAAAAGAATTTGTTCCATTCTTGAATTTTATAGCTGTACTGTCAATGGAAGGAAAAAATGAAGACATTCTGGACTTACAAAATCCAAAACTTTTTATTCATTTATACACTCAGGCAATTACTAAAGGTGTGTACCACTAAAGCAAGGTGGTAAATCACAAAATGAGAGCTAACAGGGCACAGGGAATAGGAGTAGGAAACAACCAATTGAGATAACGTGACTCACAAGCTAGGAATAGTATATACATTTTTAACTTGTTGGAAAAAAGTAAAAAAAAAAAAATCCCATGACATGTATGAAAATTACATCACATTTAAATTTCTATGTCCATAAATAAAGTTTTACTGCAAACAGTCATAGTACTACATTCCAGTGTCTATGGCCATTTTTTGTGCTATAACCACAGAGTTAAGAAGTCACAAATACTGTATGGCGATAAAGCCTGTAACAGTCACTTTCTGGCCCTTCACCAAAAGATGTTAATTAACCCTTGCTCTAAAGTGAGCACACAGGCACAGTCGAAGTCAAAGGGGCCATCACTTATGCTGATATGATTTACTACAGTCGGTAAGACTAATTAATAAGATCATAAAAAAAACCTTTTTTTTAAAAAAAAAAAAAAAGGTTTATTTTATGCATACAAATTGGGATACAGGCCAGAGGTGTAGGGGTGGTGAGAGGTGGGGAGCAGGACAGGCAGATCAACGAAGTATACTGCTGAGGGGAGCAGTGGGTAAGACAGGAGAGGTCTGCTGCACCATGTGGGTCACCTCCGGGGCAGGGATCGAGCTCATACTGAAGTGGCTGTGGTTAGCTTGCAGTGCTGTACTTTAACCTGTTGTGCCACCAGGGAAGGCCATAAAGAATATTTCTAACAAACAGTTTTGCTGAAGCTAGGTGTCTGTTTTGATTAATATGCTGACAAGAACATTTAGCTTTTTGTAGGCTGTAGTGCAGAACACTACAAAAAGATATGCTCAAAAAGAGAAGTTCTCCCATCTTTATTGATAACTTTGTTATGCCTAAAATTTGTCAGAGAAAATGTATCAGCAGTTGGGAACAGGGACTAGCTCTAAAGGGTAAATGGGTGGTGACAGTTAAAGAGGCTTAATTCTCTATTATTAAATGCTGAATTATGCTCATGTTATTGCCTTTTAAAAATAACTGAATGAAACACTCTCTCACATCTCTGAATTATATGTATGTCCAATAAATTTCACTTCTAGGAATTTATCCTACTGTTATACCTATATATATATGTGAAATGATACATACAAAGGGCATGTATGTTGTAACACTATTTGTAACAGCATAAGGTTAGCAACCTTTATCCCATAGTGAAATTAGGTATTTCCATACAAAGGAATATTACACAGTCATAAAGAACACCAAGAGACACTGTTAAGGCAAAGTACAGGAAAAGTTAATATATAAGCTAACTAAGGGTGGATGAAGTGGGGGGCTAGGCATATGCTTAATAGGGATGGGGAAGCTTGGTCTATGAAGATACAGACTTGAATGATAAAATGTTAACATGGAGAAGGCAATTTGATGGCAGGTAGGTTTTTTCACAACTTTGGGATTTTGAATCGCATGAATGTGTTTTTTTTAAAACAAACACAAAATAAAACAAAGCAAAAACAGAAAAACTGGTAGCTTAAGATCTTTTAAGAGGGTGTAAGTAAGTTTGCTTGGGTTGGATGTTTCAAAGGTGTAAGTTTGCTTGGGTTGGATGAAGTGACTATGAAGGAGAAGAGCAGGCGACAGGTGGTCCCCAGCAACATCATATTCACTGTAATGAGGTGGCAAGCGCTCTCCGGGGAAGCAGGCGAAGACGGCTGGCAACTTTAAAGGCAGCGTCCTCGGTGCGCACTGCGCTCTGGGGTGCTATGACAACTCATTTCCCCCCAACCACCAGCCCTTGGCACGCACATGCCCAGGTGGACAGTACAGTGATGAGACCCGGCGTTCTCATCAGAAGGCAAAGCAAGATGGAGAAAGGAAGGTCTAAGGGGGTCAGAACAAACACCTCCTATACATATTACGCTCAGTTTGTGTGCCTTTTGTTTTGTCAGTTTGTTTCTATTGCTTGAGATGCCCTAAGCACTCCAAAATCATATTCTAGCTTCTCTTAGAAACCAAATGAAATCCTATTTCATCTATAAAGTCAGTACCTACTGTAGCTTACACTGAACTCTGTTGTCTCTGAGCAACTAGAGTAACACTGCTTACTTTAGTCCATAATGTCATATTATTACTCAAGTGTTTCAACCTTTAAGAATAGTGACGGGGCCCACCCTGGTGGTGCAATGGGTTAAAAAGCCCAGCATGTGAAGCAAGCTGCAGTCGCTTCAGTCAGTTTGATCCCCGTCCGGGAAGGTGGCCCACATGGTACAGCAGACCTCTCTTGTCCCCTCAGCAGTGGATTTCATTGATCTGCCTGTTCTGCTCCCCACTCTGTCTCTGGTGAACACTCTTACCACGCCTGCACCTCTGGCCTGTACCCCAGTTCTGTGTGCATAAATAAATAAATCTTAAAAAAAAAAAAAAAGTAAGAGTAGAGACCATGCTTTATAATTCTGTAGCTCTCAGCACTAAGCACACTGTTCCAGTGTTTAAGGTACACCCTGAGTACCCTAAGTACACCCTGAATGTCCCAATTTACTAAAATGTAAGTTCATGAGGGCAGAGATTGCCTTTTATTCTCTACTAAAACCTTAGTGCCTAGAACTCAGGCAGGCACACACAGGTATTCAATGAGTATCTGAATGAATGAATGGAACTACTTACAGGGATAAAGTCAATGGGGAAGTAACAGGATGTCACTTCAAATAACTCCTCCACAAAGGGTCCTATGGTAACAGAGAAAGAAATGAGGTTGACTCATAAAACTACTGGTACGTATTATGACAAGCCCAGCCAACTAATTCATGGCTACAAGGACGTACCCAGACTATAGCCCCTGGAGATGATGTCCTGGACGATGCGAAAGGCCACCAAAAGATTTCGGGGATCTTTTTCCCCATCCATCACCTGGATGAAACCAAAGGTGAAGTCAGCTCCAAGACCCCTCAGCTCTGGGGAGAAGAAAACAAGGTCATTATTGTCAAACAGACAGAAAGTTTGCCTCAGACGTGTGTTCTCGCTTTACTATCACTGCCTCCGTCCCGCTTCCGAAAGCTGACCCTTCGGTGTCCTATTCCAAGAGAGTACCAAGTTGAGAAGAGATGTGCTTTAACATGTAACAAGAGGGAAGCGATGAAAACATCGGGGCCCTCCCTGGTGGTGCAACAGGTTAAAGTGCTGCACTACGAAGCTATCTGTAGCCATCTCAGTGGGAGTTTGATCCCCGGCCCTGGAGGTGACCCACATGGTACGGCAGACCTCTCTTGTCTCCCTGCTGCTCCCCTCACTCTGCTCCCCCACTCTGTCTCTGGTGAATCCTCTCACCACCCCTGCACCTCTGGCCTGTACCCTAGTTCTGTATGCATAAATAAATACATCTTTAAAAAAAGAAAAGATAGCATCGTTCAGCCCCCTTCTACCTCATTCACTCCCTGATCCTTCACTTCACTGGGGACTGAGTGGGCCCCATTTCCCTCTATCATTCTCTGTCATGGTACTGGCTAATCTCCAGGCTAAAATAAGCCCTGGCAATGGGGCAGAGGGAAGATGTGCCGTTTCCCAGAGAAAATGTCTCATACCGTCTTCTCGGGTTCGCATGAAATTGGTGATAATAGTGTAGACAGTGTATCGGTCTGCCTGTGACAGGGCCTGGGGGTGGGGAGACAAGAAATAAGTAAGTGCTCAAAGTATTCCTCAGCTGTCATGACTACTTCTAAGTGGACAGTGTGCTTTAGATGAGTATAAGATCAACCCAAGAGGAAATACAGAAAAAGGACCATGGCTATGGGCCTAGCAGTACCACAGTAAGCAAAACCTGTCTGCTGTATGCTTGACTGTCCTTAGGTGTAGAAGGACATGGGCTGGAAATATGCCTCCTTCCCCTCAAACAAGAGGAACAGTGTGTAAACATGGCCACGGCCTGAAAGAGTTCAGAACTTAAAAGGCAACGTTCTTTGGTTACCTGATTCTGGCTATGTCAAGGGAACTATGTAGAGAAACACAGAACACCCAGGCGACTGTTACCACTCACCGGTACGTGGATCTCCTGGAAGATGGCTTTAAGCACAGAGACAGCTAATCCTGTGGGTAAGGCCACATAGTGGCTCTTGGGGAGAAGAAGATAGGTGAGCACTAGGGAAATTCTGGCGTAGCCTCTGAGACAGCCCTAATTAGCTATGGTGGGAATCACAACATCCTGGTTCAGAAAGAAGTGCTAACTGAGAAATGTGGCCCCTTCTCGCAAGCTGACTAGTTCCCTGTAGTCTCTCCTATTTGGCTCTAAATTCCAGTCCCCCAAAAGATACTTTTGCTCCCTATAGTAAAAACAGCAGAGGAGCTTGCTGACACTCACTTAGTTCCACACTTGGGTATCTGTTCCTTAGCACAAGCCTCACCCCCCAGAGGGCAAGGAAAGAATTAACTGCCTAAGGGCTCCCATGAACACAAGTATAGTGAACAAAAGGGGAGAACTCACAAGTGCCCTCAAGCCCTGTAGGACAGGCGGGATCAGAAGAGGATTGTCCTTTAGCCGGTTCTCGTAGAACAGGATCAGGTGCACCACTGCAGACAACACAGCCACTAGTTACAAAGGCCGCGGCTCTGCTGTTCCACCCGCTGCACTGCAGATTCTCTCCTTCACCCAGAGAGATCAGGAAAACAGGTGCCTATCTATTGTTCATTTCAAGCCCAGAATTGACCTTACACGGAAGAGAGATTGGTAAACTTTTCTTATAGGGTCAGATAGGAAATATTTTGGGCTGGCAGGACAGAGTCTTTGTCACAACTATTCAATTCTGCCGCTGTAACACAAAAGTAGCATAAATAAACAGGCATGGCTATATTCTAAGAAAACTTTATATTGGTGATACTTCCCATAACCCTACTATAGAAGAAAAATAAACTGGCTTTTTTCCTTAGGCTTTAAATGTACTGTAATATTTCATTACTTTCCTAGGAAACACTACTTTGTCGATTTCATAAAGCAGAGAAGATACATTGTGGGGGGAAAAGGCTGAAGGTTCCATTTGAATTCATGTGTCTTGTGTCCAATTCTTATCATCTCTGCCACATACCAGTGAGGAATGAAGACCTAAATAAGTAGTTCATAGATATTTTACATAGATATCTCCCTATAATGTTAGCATGAATACACAAGAAAGGCCTTGCTTGGTTCTGTAACTATGAAGACATTTCTACCAATGATGCCAGTACCTTCTTTCTCCAGGAGAAAGGGATGACACTGGAGTAGCACCTGTGACAAAAGCTTGATTCCTCGTGCCCGAATTCGAGGTTCCGGATTATCTAGGGAGGACCTAGGGAGAAAGCAGATAGAGAGTCTGATATTATCCAGATCAAACTTGGAAGGAATAAATATTTTGTAATGAATCACATCCACATCCTGGGCATGGAAATCAAGCCCTGTTAAAGGAGTCATGCCAGGATGACATTCCGGAGGTATTTAAAACTACAGATGTCAGCGAGGCCAGAGATGAACGAGCCAATCCCCACAATGCTCTGGCATCTGTAGAACCACATGGACACTAGAGCCAACAGAAGTGTCTGCTGCCGGGCACTAGCTGAGCACTGGGCATCCTTTCCCCTCAGTGTGACTGTGACATTCCTCTGAAACAAAGCTTAGCAGCTGCTATCTATCCACAGGACCCAGGATATGATTGGTAGTTGCAGCTTCTACCAAAATAGGAGTAGGAATAGAAAGAAAAATGTTATGAGCAATCACCAAGGTCTTAAGAAAAGATCAACTTTGTAACTGGAAGTTTATGAAGTGAGAATAAGGGTTTTAACTAGGATTACTGATGTGGGAGGAACTGGACTGGTGTAAGAAGGAGGGGACTTATTTTCAAAATAAAAATATTTGAGATTAGACTCAAATAAACAAGAAGCCTGACAAAGTAAAAGTAGAAAGCAGAAGCTTTCTGAAGAGGAGCTGGCCAGGGCATGAAAGTGAAACCTCAGAGAGAAGGGTGTCTATAACTAGAAGCAATGGGCCAAGTACAAGATCAGTCTTGACAGGATCCCTGGGACAGGCAAATGTAGAAAGGTCCTTGCTCAGAAGTAGAAAACTGCATTTAAAAATGGATCAAAACTTACAAATGTTTATAGCAGCATTTTTCAGAATAGCCAAAGTGTGGAAACAATTAAGATGTCTATTAACTGATTATGAGGGTGTACCAACTGATGGCTGGACAAAGTACTGTATATCTTCTCAATGGAGATAATTCAACAAGAAATGAAGTGCTAAAACAGGGATGAACTTTGAAAACATCAAGGTAAGTGAAAGAAACCAATTATGAAGGTCCTATTTATATGATTCCATTTACATGAAATGTCCAGAAAAGGCAAATTCAGAGAGAAGGAAAGTAGGCTCTTTAAGAGGCAGCGGGGGGGTGAGTGCTAATGGGCATGGGGTCTCTCTTTGGGTAATGAAAATATTCTAAAATTGTGGTAAGGGTTGCAAATCTGTGAAATTACACTCTGTAAAAGTGAACTTTTTAATTAATTATCTCTCAATAAAAATGACCAATGCTACAATGTGGTACAAAGATCAAGTGGTCTCATGTGGGAGAAATGTACAATAGTGACCTAGTCCTCTTCTCCCTCCAATTTTCTAGTTTTTTATTTTAGAAGAAATTTTTCATTCTAACAGTTAATACCTCTGCTAATAAGACCTGTCAATCTAAATGGCCTATCAAATATGAAGTCCAAGGAAAACGTGCATTCGATTATAAACACATATTTCCTTTGGTGTTTGTAATATCTGGTTATAACAAGGGTTTTCCAACTGTCTCTTCTCTTTTTCTGTAGAAGGGATCCACTTGGTATAAGGTCAGTCACCTGGTAACTTTCCAGGCGGCGTCCCAGGTAGGTCTGGGTCAGATCCAGATAACTGAAACCACTGACGTGGTAGATCTGGAGAAGCACAGGAGTCCTAGCTCTAAATAAGAAATGCTGTCCTTCAACCACCTACCCCCAAACTGAGGGCTAATTCAGCAGCAGATACGCATATTAAACTTCCATAGGGAGCCTCCGTCAAGCAGTGTGAAACTTTTCAGAAGAAACATTGGCTTAGCCTAAGGTACTGATATGGAAGGGGGTGGTAGGTGTTGGCCTTCAGTAGAAGAAATTGAGAGTTATCAACTACAGGAAAGCAGCAGTGTACAAAGTAGAGAAGGGCTTTCTAGAACAGAGGATCTTACCCAAGTGCTTCTACCACTTGCAACACTGTGTAGCTGCCAGATTTCACATCTAGAGGAAACAGAAATGTGAAAAGTAAAATCAAGATCCCATTCCAGGATTCAATGGCTCCAATTACCCAAGTTCCTGCTATGCTAGAGTTTGGGGTCTCCTATGTTTGCCAATGGTCCCTCCCACAAGAAAGGCGTTACTATAACACTTCAAATATGCAGCTTCAGGTAAAGAAATTGAAAAGGAAGCAAATACGCCATTTACAAATAATATGATTATACAAATGGAAAAATCCAAAAGAAATAGCTAAAAAAAATACAAATAAGATAATTATTTGGGTGATTGGGTAGGAGATAAATATATGAGGTCAAAAACTTTTACATGTGTACACATACAAGTCTGTAAAATGATTAAAGAAAGTTTCTATTAACAATGGCCAGACAGAGAAAATATATGATTATGAACCTAAATGAAAAATTTGAAGAGCTGCATGGTGAATTATTAAAGCACCAGCAAAAATCACACACACACACACACACACACACACACACACACACACACACACACACACACACCAGGAACAAATAAAAAAGTATGCCAAAGTTTTGAAAGACTCAAGATAACAAATCTCCTAAATTAATAATTTAAAAATATTTCTATAAAAACACCTATAGAAGCTTTGTGAAAAACTAAATTAAACTTACTGTAAAATACAAAAAAATTATGCATGATAGGCAAATTCTGAAAAAGAGCAAGAAAGGTGGAATATAAACTCTTCAGACAAAAGATTGTAAGGGCCTCCCTGGTGGTGCAACAGGTTAAGTCTCAGCACTAGGAAGCTATGCGCAGCCAATGAAGCAATGAGTTCCAGTTCAATTCCCAGCTAGGGAGCTGACCCACATGGTGCCACAGACCTCTCCTGACCAGCCCACTGCTCCCCTCAACAGTGTATTTCAGTAGATCTGCCTGTTCTGCTCCCCACTCTGTCTCTGGTGAATCCCCTCAAAATCACACCTCTGGACTGTACCCCAGTTCTGTAAGCATAAATAAATAAGTAAATCTTTAAAAAAAAATCAATGAGAAAAAAACAATTTAAATGGGCAAAAACCTAAAGGCATGCTTAATCATAGTCACAATAGGCAACATGCAAATTAGACAAAAACTTTAAAAAAAATAGTAGACTGGTGAAGATGAAAATTTTAAATTCATGCTGGTTAGTATGAAAATAGATACCCAAATACTGTAGGCACGAGTGTAAGCTGGTATATACCCTTTCTATGTAGGACAATTAAACAGTATCTTTAAAATTATAAGTGCACATCTGCTATAACCCAGGTAACTTTCTTTAAATTTCTCATCTAGGGCCTTCATGGTGGTACAGGGGTTAGTCTGAGCACTATCAAGCTACCACCAGCCACTGTTGCATCAGTTTGCGCCCCAGCCAGGGAGCTGACCCACATGGCCCAGTAGACCTCTCCTGTCTCGCCCTCTGCTCCCCTCAGCAGCGTATTTCAGTCAGTCAGCCTGTTCTGTGCCCCATTCTGTCTATGGTGAATCCTCTCACCACCCACATCCCTGCACCTCTGGTCTGTACCAAGCTCTTAGAGGCATAAATATTTAAAATAAATAAATTTACTATATATGTACTTGTAAATTATGAAACAATGTATATACAAGGTTATTGTGTTGTTTTTTTTTTTAAAGATCTCTTTTATTTATGCATATAAGAAATGGGGTGTAGGCCAGAGGTGCAGGTGACAGGATTCACCAGAGACAGAGTGGGGCACAGAACAGGTAGATCTACTGAAATACACTGCTGAAGAGAGAGAGGTCTGCTGTGGCATGTGGGTCAGCTCCCTGGCTGGAGATGGAATCATGCCACAGTGACTACTGATAGCTTGACAGTGCTGTGACTTTAACCCCTGTGCCACCAGGAAGATCCTACAGAATTATTTGTAATAGCAAATGACTACAAACAACAAATGACACAAGAAACCAGTTACATAAATTATAGTACAACTACGTAATGGAATCCTCTGAAGCTACTTAGAAAAAAAGGAAAAGGAAAAAACAAAAGCAAATGGGGCAAGACCTGAAAGCAGAACAGTCCATATAAATAGCATACAGTATGAATAAAACTTATTTTCGTTAAAAGAAATTTTTTTTCATTTTTTAAAAAGATTTATTTATTTATTCATACAGAACTGGGGTACAGGCCAGAGATGCGGAGGGTGAGAGGATTCACCAGAGACAAAGTGGGGTGCAGAACAGGCAGATCGACGAAGTACACTGCTGAGGGGAGCAGCGGGAGACAGGAGAGGTCTGCCGCGCCAAGTGGATCACCTTCCTGGCTGGGGATGGAACTCACACTGAGGTGACTGCTGCTAGCTTTGTAGTGCTGCCCTTTAACCAGCTGCGCCACCAATGAGGGACCCATCTTTTCATTTTTTAAGCATTTCCTGACTTTCTACCACTACAAGTAATTTCCCTGCCTCAAGCTTAGAATCAGACATTTCTCCAAGAAGCCTGCCTCTTTAAACTGGAGAATGGTATTAGTGTGAAGATCTGGATGTGGATATGCTTTTTGCTATAGGGGTGTCACTACTTCTTGGCTCTTAGAAAAAAAAAAAAAAAAACCAAACGGCAAAAACCTCACATATATGCACAAACCTATCTATCATTTCTGTATCTATTCATATATATTAATCAAAACATAAAAGCATATATTTTTTTCCAACTCTAATCCAATACCAGAGTTCATTGTAGCCTTAACACCTTTCTTATTTGTAATTTTTTTCTCTGAGCTGGTTCCCATCACCTATTATCTATTTACCTACCGACCTGTCTATCTATCCATTCATTCCTTCTGCCTTCCTGCCACTTCATTAGAAAGAGAGAGAAAATACTCTATGTGCAGGTGTCATGGAGGGGCTCACTGCGACATCTACGGAGACCCACAGCTGGAAGAGGCTCCTCTCCTTGCTTGGTGCCTGCAGAAGGGCCTACCAGAGGGTAGGAAACTGCTGGGCGAGGTTCCCTGCCACTATTCAGTTCCTTCTTGCTTGTCTTTGATGGTCACCTGAAGCCGCTCTTCCAGCAGGAAGAGCTCACTGAAAGGTCTGTGGTAGCCTGGGTGAAGACTTCCTGGGGGCTATAAAGCCTCGTTGGTCAGCAGGAGGACAAAGACCCATGCTCCAAAAGGAGGGCTTGGTATGCAGCACTGGGCACCTGTGGGTCCTTCAACAGCTGCAATTCAGTGATATCTCTGGATTGTGTGCTTTTCTGTGTTGACGGTGAACAAGCAGATGCTGGGTTCTTTGGTGTCCCTGTTAATGGTGATCTTTTTCTAGTCCTTGAAGAGCAAACATGACTTAAAACAGGAGGGGAGCTCATTCTTGTACCACAGCTGCTCCAAACTCTGCCATCAGAACTCTATTCTATTTATTTTTCAACCCTTGAATAGTCATAAACTACTTTCAGAATGCTTAACTTTTGTGAGAAACAAATTTATAAGCAGAATGTAGTATTTTTTTGTAAAGTCACTCAGATCAACTCTTTTCACCCCATCTCCTTCAATGAAGACAGCGGTACACTAGCAATAGCTAGAGGCATTTGTGGCTGTCTGCATTCTATCTTGGGATAGAAGGGAGACTTTTGAATGTTGTACCTTTGTGAAAATAATTATTTTTTAAAACGCAATTTTAGCAGCACAATAACTCACAGAAACCTAACAAGCACCGCTGGATGTATTTTCTTAAAAAAAAAAAAAAGTATTTATTTATGTCTACAGAACTGGGGTACAGGCCAGAGATGCAGGAGCAGTAAGAGGTTTCACCAGAGGCAGAGTGTGGGCAGCTGGCGTGTCAAGAGAGGTCTGCCACGCCATGTGGGTCACCTAGGGGTGTGGATCTCCCGCATAAGTGGCTGCCACCAGCTTCACTATGCTGTGCTTTAACCCACTGTGCCCCTAGGGAGGGCCATCAATGTATTTTCAAAGGAGAAACAGAGTTAAAGGTTAGCAATCTTCCTAAGAGATTAACGCAGAGGAGTTCTAACGCAGCAAGGCCTGGCAATTAGGGCATCACGCTCAACAGCCGGTACAGGGTGCCTGGCCCAGCGACCTCTGAATGCAGGGCCTAACTAGTCAGCTCTGACCAGACTGGAGTGAAAATGGGGCTTGAGAAAACTCCCAACCTCTAGCTCTCAAAGCAACAGCTGTGAGCTAAACTGGGCAGAGGCTCCCACTGGTACTAGAGTAAGAAGTTGAAGCCGACTGAGGAAAAGGAGCTCTCTAGTCAGGATTCACAGCTCGTGACTGGCACCGATTTAGACATCAGCACTCTAAGCCCTACTTGTGCCAGGACGTGGAAGTCCCAGCTGCTGCCCCTACTCCTGAAAGAGCCATGGGAAGGAAAAAAATGCACTGGCTCTTGGCTGGGGGGAGGGTAATCAGCTAGACTAACACCACAAACCCGGGAACTGATAGCGAAGGAGAGGGGGTGTCTACAACCAATTAAATGAACAGAGATCCCCATTTCTGGGTTACAAACCACAATAGTGGTGTACCATTTAAGAGGACAGAAAAGGGTACATTTTGCAAACCTCCTGGCAAGAGCCCATCTCAAAACAAATTTCAGTAGCGGTCACAGAAGGCCTTAGCAATAATTGTACCTAACTACAGGGAGCTGGTAACTGCTATAAGCAAAGACCACCAGCAAACTGAATTCTTCTTCGGCAAAACCATCTAAGTTCTCTGTCGATGCTGGGCGAGTGTCTATCTTTGGGAATACCTCAAACACGGTATACATGGAATACAAACACCTGCCTTAGCCCCCCCTCAGTTGCCTCGAATTTTCATTAAAGACAAGAGCCTGCCCTGGTAGCACAGAGGTTAAAGCACAGCACTATGAAGCTATTGTAGCCACTGCAACAAAGCTCTATCCCCACATCACCTAGGTGACCCACATGGTGCAGCAGACCTTGCCTGACCTGCCCGCTGCTCCCTCAGCAGTGTACTGGGTGACCCTTTCACCCCTGCACCTCTGGCCTGTACTCCACTTCTTGTATGCATAAATAAATCTTTAAAAAAAAATAAAAACAAAATGGAGACATACTTTAAATAGAGAACCGCAAAAATATTAACTATATTTTCATGACTTTTAACAAAAGTATACTCTGAATAATAAATACCCCAATCAAGACAGCTGATTTCCATCATCTAAGGATCTTTTGGGGCCTCTTAAAAATCAACTCCTACTCTTACAGACTGCCTTAAGGTATATAAAAGAAAATTACTTCATTCAGTATACATCATTATGAAACTGCTTTACAATTACAAAGTAACCTGCATTTGCATGTGATTCTGTGAATCCTAGAATATAAATAAACTCTTCTCCCAGAGCCTTTTACTCTTCGTATTCTCATAAGGATCCCACCTTGAACTAATGTAGCAAACAAAAGAAAAGTACAAAATATGGAATTAGGAAGAAAGCAAGATCATACATCTTTCACTCAATAGTAAATAAGAGTAAGGGAAATGGCAAGTTTGGTGACAAACCTAAAATCGGTATTTTGAGCCACAAAGGTGAATAAGGGAAGAAAGACATTTTCAAGAACCACAGACATTATTACTATACTCATATAAACAAAGACTGAGTGAACCTAAGAAAGGAGTAAAATACCTGGATTAAAAAAAAAATCTATTACCTACTTATGTGCTAATTCTCTTAACACTTTAAGTTCTCCCAAATGAAAAATACACAAAAACCTGGAAGTCCTGCTACTTATGCACTTGGACCCCTGGGATGAAAAAAGCTAATAGAGAGCTAATTTTCTTAAGATTAGTCTCTCTGGTATTAAGGAAAAATAAGTGTAAATTCCTTTCTCTTTATAGGTTGGGTTGTTTTCCAACATGTCCAAGATTTGCTGTCTAAAAACCGACTTACTAGCATCTCCCAACTACCCACACTTTCTTCAGCAGGGTTCCAGCTTGTGTGGGTCACTGAAGAGTTGTCAAAGGAGTATTTATACCATCACTGACACAGAATGCACAATCAGAGTTCTGTCTGATGGAGCTGCTGTCTCTTAGAATCTGGAGTAGCAGTCAAGCAGGGAGGCAGGGAAGTTGTGAAGGAGCAAAAGAGGGAAAAATCCCAATCAGGAGTCAGTTCCAATTAAGATCTCAGAAAACCCTCTTCGGCTAAGGATACCAAGGATATTTCTCAGGATTATAGTTTACTGTTTTTAGACCATTTATAGCTTCAGGAATAGCGGTATCTTCAGAAAATGACAATTATGGGAAATACAATATAAAAAAGACTGAAATGATAGAAAAATTCAAGTAGGAGAAAAAATTCTGTCACTTGCAAATTCAATGTGTCCAGAAAAATCTTTAAAATTAGCTCCTTTCCCAACCTCCCTTACTGGTCAAAATACTTGTCTTTTGCTTATCTGTAAACTCAAAATCTTGGGGTCATCTAAGGGTCCTCCCTCTCATTTCATTCACTTAGATAATTTTTATGGCACACTTAATGCTAGTCTCCAGGGGGAAGAAAAGAAGGGTTAGGAAGTGGAGAGGTTAACATGCTTGTAGTAAGAATAAAAGTGGCTGAGAGTACCAAAAGGATTCTGAAGAGTGAGATGAGGTCTAGTTAGAGTAACTGGGAAGTACATGGGTGCAGTAGGGAGCACTCAAGCTGGGCCTACAATCCTAGGTCTAACTTTGACTAGAAAGAGCTAGAATTGGGAAGGAAAGCGCTTAGGGAATGGATAATAAAGGTGGTTGCCTGAAACTAAAAGCCCAGGAGGGGAGCAGAGAGAAAAAAGTCTGGGGCCAGGGAGTGGCTAGTTGGCTGAGAAGACTTTAACCTGTAGGCTATCATTTGCATCTTTGCATCTGATACCTGGCAAAACAAAGCTGGTGGTAGCTGCTTTTGTGATCATAGCTGTTCTTCTGCATTTACAATGTCTAGGAGACAGTGGGTGGTTGAACTGAAAGTTGGTCCTTTCAGCACTTGTTAGGCTACAGGATAAGAAAACACATCTTATTCTAAGGCTGCTTCAAACTGACAGCCTTCAAAACATTAGTTAGGGCTATGATGTAAGATTGAGAACATCAATTTCTCAAATTGGCTTTATTATCTGACTCCTTGCTCAAACCTTGTTCTACATAGCCAACCCTGCCAAAACTTTTCAGTCTTATCTGTTACTACCAACCTCCTTTCTCCTTCAGGACTAAATTAGAATAGGCTCCTGTTACAGTCTTGATTGAACGGAAGTTAAATTTAAGCTGGATGACAGTTTAGGCATTTTTTTCAGACAAAAAATATAAATTTTACAAAACTATGTGTAAGAACCTGGCAGTCACCTGTCTTCTCAAGTGTATTCTGAATTTGTAGAATCCAGAATTATTGTTTGTAATACATAAATATGAAAGAATAGTTACAAATGACACTGTTGATAGAAATGTTCATCTCAGAAGACGTAGGTGCACACATTTTTCAAAATCAGTGAATACAATGATTATACACTTCATTGGACATAAATTTTACACCAAAATAAACAGTAGCCAAACTCTAGTTAATAATATGGATATCAAAGTATTTAAGGGGGAGTATATTGATACCTTTGACTTAAATGGATGGACAGATATGTGATAAAGTAAATTTAAAAAGTTAATGACAGTAATTTGATGATGAATATCTATGTGTTTCTTATAAAATTCTCTAGACTTTGCTGTATGTTTGAAATTTTTCATAACAAAACACTGGGGAAATGACATTGCTAGTACATCGTATTCATTATTTGTAAGCGCTGATAAAACCTTACACTTCACAAAGGTATAAATGTTAAGGGAATGGCAGCAGCAGGCATTTGTTTCTTGATACTTCCATGCCACCTTGGACATACTTTACTTGCACCACTAAAAGCGCTGTTCCACCACATTGCAAGTTTTTGATGGGCACAATTCTATTCTAATTTATATTTCTATTCCTATTGCTTTGTATCGTTTATGGGAAATGTGTTCAATAATGATGGAACGAGCAAATGAAAGTGGAATATTGCCAAGGTCCAAAGTATTACACTACTCTGATTCACTTTATTTCTCACATCTTTGAAAAGTTACTATGTTCAGTTTTCAAAAGAAATGTGTCCCTTTTCAAATATGCAAATTTCCCAGACAAAACTCATTATTAGTACATGGGAGATTATATTGTATCCTATTACTAAAACATGAGATCGGAAGGCCTCCTAACATTCCGTTACTTTAGTTCTTTTAATAACTTTAGTTCTTTTTTCTAACAGGCAAACACCCAGAATTCCAAGGAAATCTGGAATTTGTTTTATTCTAGTCTTATAAAAGCTATCAGAACTAAGTGATCCCTGAACTGGTCAATAGAAGGAAACTGGAGATCTGGGGGAGAAAAAATAAAGGAAACACACACACACACACACACACAAAATTCACGAAGTAGCTTAATAAGTTTACCAAGAAACGGAAGGAAAGCGTCAAGGAGGATACGCGAGTACCCGAAACTCCCTAGATCGACTCCCCGGCTCCTCTCCCCAATTACAGCCCGCCCGAGGTCCCGCCGTCCCGCCGTCCCGCCACTCCCGACATGCCACGCGTTGGGAGCTGGGGCCGCTGAAGATGCTTCTGGTCGCGCCAACCTCCCACCTGGGTGGAGGCTCTCGAGTCCGAGTTCTAGCTCCCCCACCTGCCTGATATGCAAGCCAGCCCTCGCTGGGGGCTCACCACCCTCAACTGTGAAATGGTAATGACTCGCCTAACAGTGGCCGCCCCTCAGAGTGGTTGTATGCAGAAACGAAGGCATACGGCACCTTAAGGAAAATGCAAGCGACTCTCAATTTATTAGGGCTCTTAAGCAAGCGATGCTCACACGCAGTTCCAGACCCATCACAAAGTCCGGGCTGTCTCTCGCTCCCTTCCCGCCCGGCGCCAGTGCTGAGGCCGCTCCCGCCCGTCAGCCCCCCGCGGAAGCCGCGCGGCGCCGTCAGCCGTACCTGCAGCTACTTGGTCAGCGGGGCTCTCCTGATGACCCATGACGAAGTCTTGCACGAGGCCCCACAGGGCGTCCGTAGGCGCCACCGCCTCCAGAGCGGCGGCGGCAGCCATGACGCCGACTGAAGCCCGTGGGAGGGGAAGTGGGCGGTGGCACGGGACGCGCCTCTCGGCGCACGCGCCTCCAGAGCCAATCGCCTGGCCGAGGCCGAGGGGGCGGGGCGCTCCCTGGGTCACGTGCCTGCCGGCTCCAGGCCAGGCAGTTCCAGGGAGGGATGGGACGGTCCCTCCCTGAAGGGCGGGGCCTGGAGTCGGGGCGGTGGCGCGGGGAGGGAAGACGGCTGCTGGGCACGCAGCCCGGGGCTATTGAGGGCGAATAATCCCGGCCCCGCTCCCCGGGAGACGGGCGGTGGGGCGGGCACCTGG